ATAAATATTCTTTTTATATATATTATTCAAAGAGATATAAGCATACATAATATGAGAAATTCAGAAAATTGAATTATATGATTATTATACAAGACTGTGAAATGTTATTGTTATAATTTATATCTGTTATGGTGCTACCTGACCACTAATTCAAATCAGCGAGATTATTGAGTTTCGTACAATGTATGAACGTTTTATAGAAACATATTTGGTGTATTTATATATTTACATTTAAGAACAAGTGAATTTGTATGTTTTTCTTTTAGTTAGGAGTGAAAATAAGTAACCTTTGAATTTTATTTTGTTTTTAGCTTTTTTAAGTGAAAAAAAAGCTAAGCTTCCTCACTAAATTTTGGTTCCTTCATATACATATTTTTAACTCATAACTTAATTGCATCATAATTTATCTTCTGATATTAAACTTATACCTTAATTACATAATGATTTGGTCATATGAGATTTGACTCTAAATTAATTATATAAGTCTTATATGCTTAATTGATTCTTGATTGATTTACGTAATTGCCTCAAATAATCAAGTGCCTGTAACTTGATCAGTAACTCACATGTCCGAATTCATTTCTCTTCTCTTTTTTATTTATTTATTATTTATTTATTTATTTATTTTTTTTATTCAAATTCTGCTTTTATTAATAGATTACAATCTTATTATGACATTAATTATGTAGCTAATCAAAAATGTTGTAATACAGCTACAGATTTGACGATTAAAAGATAATTATTCAAACTACAATTTTTTAATATAAAAAAACTGCATATTCAGATATATAAGGTAAATTATATGTTTCGTGATGTTATATATTTAAAAAGAAAAAAATAAAAAATAAAGAAAATACAAAAATATGAAAAATGACAGATTTCAATTAAACTTTTAAAAAATCATGTGGGTATATAATCCCCTAATATTCAATTATTTCGTTGTTTAAACAACGATTAAAATAAGTTTGGAAGTACTTAATCCAACTATGGCAAATTTCTTTAGTTATCTGTTTAAATGCATCACTGATTCGGCTTAAAATAGTCTTATTATTTTCAAGATAATGTTATGCAACTAAATTTTTAACCTTTGAAAAGACCTTTTCGATGGGGTTTAGAAAGGGGGGAGTATGCAGGTAAAAATAAAAGCTCATACGGTGTGGTTGCAATAAATTTTTAACTTGTTTTGCTTGGTGAATTTTTGCATTATTAACTATAAAAATTTTTCTGCGGTTTGGAGAAAGTGATTTAACAAGCTTACGTAAAAATTTTGTAAAAATAAATCCAGTTGTTGAACCTAGCCGCGGTGTAACTTTGACAATGCCATTCCCATCCATAGCTGCAATAATAGTGATATTTTTTCCACGTTGCTTAAAAACTTCCTTAATAGCACGTTGTCTACAAGGTGCACGTTCTCGTAAATGTGATAAATGAAGATTAAAACCAGACTCATCAATATAAATAACATCATGATACAGATTAATTCTTTGCTGAAAAATATTTTGAACATATTCTTTTCTTTTAACAATTGTATTAAGAACATTTCGTTTTTCATTAACAAGTACTAGGGTTCCAAGGTTTGATTTGATAAGTTTGAGTTTGAGTTTGATTTGAAATCAAACCCAAACTCAAACATTAAATTTTGCAAATTT